AATTTTTGAAATTTTTTTTGAAATTCCCCCCCCCCCACCGTCGAGAAAAACAGGTACTGGGGTCAAGCTCGCCCTCATGACATTTTTTAATATGGTCGATTTCGCCAAAACTTGGAACAAAACGTTTTTGTAACATACCGAGCTGTTCAATCATTTATCGCAATGAAAAAAAGTTGTGGTCAAAATTTTTCCCAGTCTATGAAAAAAAACCCTAGTACCATCATATTTTTTTAAAATAAGTGATGCGGTTTTCAAGCGTTTCTCATCTATAATTTTTCCAATTTGTATCAGATTTTCCAATTTCTAAAATACTGGAATTAAAAGACATGAAAAGCTCTTAAGAAACCTCCGAAAAAAATGCAAAAACTCAGACAACCTGGAAACATATGAGAACGGTGAAAATTTTATGAATAAATAAATAAAAGATTTCAAAAATTATCAAAATGCATTCTTTCTATAAAAATTTTTGTGAACTCAGTGAATTCATCCAGAAACATCTTTCAATTAATTTTGAAGATTTTTTTTTCTATAGCAAAATGCTTATCATACAATTTTCATGTATGAAAATATTAAGATAAGCAATTTTTTGACCAAAATACAACCATGTTTTTATTGAGTACAAAGATTCAAAAGATGGAAATAAAACAGATATTTTTCTCTTAAAACGTTTAATACAGTTTTTAAGTTTTGAATGAAGACTGTATGATAAGCATTTTTTCCATAGTCACCATATATGAAATTATATGATAAGCATTTTTCTTTTATGGACGTCAACCCGGGTAATTAAATTCCTCAAAATACACCAAATCAATTTTCACTCACTCCCTTCGCGTTCCGAGGCCTGAATCGCCCTCACATCTCTTCGGTTTATCGCCTCTCCCGCAACTACCCCCACACAACATGGTGAGGGGAAATTAATGTTCTAATTCAGATCTGAAATAATCTTTTTCGTATCTAAATTTCTGATCTGAAATTGGTTGTGAAATGTTGAAATAATGCCTGGATGCTTTAAGAGTTGGTTATTTCAGATCTAAATTTAGATCCGAGCTTTTGATTTTGTCGGTGATTTCAGATCTGAAAAAAATTTTCAGATCTAATTTCAGATCTGAAATTTAATTGGATCTTGTTGACCCCCCCTTTTGGACTTTGTTAACTATCTCCCCCCCCCTATGCATGTTTTGTTTTTGACAAACATTTCTGTATCAAAAATGCATTACAAAAATGTAAACAATTAAGTGGGTTTTCATTTTCGCGCGTTCCTATTTGTATTACTCACTATTTATATAATACCCACGTAAAAAATTTAAATATATAAATTTTCTGAAAATTGTGTTAAGCTATCGACAGTGTGGCCGCCAAAGTTGAATTTCTGAAAATCGAAATAGGTGAGGGATAGTTAACAAGATCTATTTAATTTTACATGATTATTTTTGTTCTGAAAAAATCAAACTCTGAGACAATGTTTTGCTACTTTAGGAAGCCTAGTTATTTGTGGCGAAATCGACCATTTGTATTTTAAAATGAGATTGTACTCCAAATCTCTTTAGTTGGAGGCAGCTGAAATGTATTTCTCAAAGTATGAGATAAACATGGGAAATCCATAAGTAGCACATGAAACTCACATTTTTACCGCTAACTAATCTGAATGTCATAACTAATCAGGAAAAAAAGAAAAATCAATTGATTGCTCAAAATGCATATATTATAATTTAACAAGATGTTTCTCAGATCTAATTTTAGTTCTGAAATTGTATTTTTAAGGTTATTTCAGATCTGAAACTTTCTTTTTCAGATTCAAATTCAGATTCAAAGGTCTGAAACAACGAATTTCAGATCTTGTAAAGAAAATCAACGGGGTGCGAGATACGTGAACGAGGGAATAGGCAATGAAAAAAAATTTGTTGTAAGCTCAAACTCAAACCAAAAACAAGTTGTTAAGTTGTTAAGTTGTAAGCGTGCTTCGATTACCACCAAAAATTTCATATATCAAGAAAACATGAGGTATCCAAAAAAAATTGGTTTTAAATTTGTGTGTTTTAGCCGAATTTCGAGCGAGAAGAGTGCGTAAACCTTATGTTAATTTTTTAAATGAAATTTTATTCTGAGTAAGCACTTTTTAAAATTTCGTTCAGCGCGTCCAAAAAAAAACTCAGAAATTCAAAACAAAGTAATTTTTTATGAAGTAACATTTTTAAAGTTTTTTAAGTTTGTAAACTTTGAAAAAGTCACTTCATAAAAAACTACTTTGTTTTGAATTTCTGATTTTTTTTTGAAAAAACTCTTGTTTTCACTTTAGCGATAAATTGCAAAAAACGATAGCTGATTGAAGCCAATAGTCAATTTTCTAGGCACTTTCTAAATTTTAGAAAATACACGCAGAAAAACACAATTTTGAACAAATAGAACTGTCGTCGTTATTTCAAATTTTATAAAGTCAGAAGCCTCTATCATAATTCCGATTATTTGTTTATTTTGTTTTCGGTTTGAGTTTGTAATAAAGATAGCATAATTACCTTTCCACAGCAAGTGATAATAACATAACTGCTTGTGGCCAGTAAGTAAATGAATCAGTTAGATGCCATAGAAACGCAATGATGCCATCAAGTTGCTCATATTCGTCACGGCCGTAGGTTGCGTATACGTCCTTTCTATTTTGAAAGCGTTTAAATATTGGGCCTTAAGTTTTTTTTTTTTTTCGAATTGGTAAGCTTCGATCCTTGAGCTGTTTTTTTTTGTGTTTTCTTCGGTAGGTGTTTGAAAAAAGTACAGGAACTGTTTAGTTGTTTGAAGTTAGACGGATTTTCGGTAACTCAACTTAATACTTTGTCAACTTGTTTTCAGGTCGATCAAACTGATTTCTTTAACTCTTCCAAATCACCATAAAAGCCCTGTTTTGACCAAATTTTCTGCGATGGAGCCGATAATTCAATTTAAAAAACAGGCCAAAAACGATAAATTTTAAGCAATTTTTTGATTTTTTTAAATCAAAATTTGAGTTTTTTAGGCGCGGACTCCGCCCTCGAAACTACTAAGTATTCGCGCCAAATGTACCTTTAGAAATCTTTAGGGTCATTCATCCAGAACTGGAAGACCATGGGAGAGACCCTTAGGGTAGTCAGGGGTCAATTTCCTGTGGGCAAAAAGTCTGAAACCCCCCCCCCCCCACCCTTAACTTCCACTACTGCCCTTCGGCACTTGGTGAATACGTCTGAAAAAGTCAAATTAATAGCTTCAAATTTATGAAAACAAGGCCATGGTTTGCAAATGTTATTGAAGATTTGAGATTTTAAAAAAAAACAATTTTTATAATAGATAGTACAAAAGTAACCTCACAGTTTTGCCCTGATGCAAAAATCTTGAAAAGAACCAAATTTTTGAGAAATCTTTAAAAAAAATTTTAATTTTTAGCTGTGTTTCAGGTGGGCTAAAGCATAATTTCAGATTATGTCTTAGATTTCAAATTACTAAATGAAGCAAAGATTGGTAGAAACCACTTCAAAATTAAACGTAACTTGAACTTCTCTAAAAGAAGTTGCAGTAAAACCTCACTTTTGTCAAACTCCACAAACCAGCTAACCACTACCATGCCATGAGTTCAAAAAGTTTTATTTTATGGTTTTATATTACACTCTACACGTGATACACCAATGACTTTTTTCAATTAAAAAATTATAAATTTTTCTGCATAAAAACCACAAAAAAAAACGATTTTCCCACTATTCTTTTACCATTCTGAAATGTATTATTTCTATTCCCTATCTTAAAATTTTCTGGACTCTATAATCTAAATTAATGCAAAGCATGAAAGACCGGAAAATTTTAACGTATCTTAATACATGGAGCCTTCCAAGCCCCTCCCCCATATGATCAGCTCCACAATCAACAACTGACAACTATCGGCTATCTATGATGAGAAAAATGACCCAAAAACAACCTAGTGCGAATTCTGTCAAATTTTTGTTCTTTTTGTTCCGACCATTGAAAATGGAGAGGAACTTTGTATTCGGGTGTGTTTTAGATTTTTCGTTTTTTTGTTTTCAACGCAAAATCAGCTACCACAATGAATCGTCGGACAGAGTTGAGTGATATATCATGCTTTCGTGATTCAAACGGTTTTTAAAAATTTTTTAAAATGACTGTCGAGAAAAACCGGTTAGAAACATTTGATTTTCGATCTAATTTCTAGCTAATTAGTAAGGTAGTTAGTAATTGCAAAAGCTTATTTAAGCTTAATTTAGGCCGTGAAAACTTAGTTTTACTCAAATAAAGGTAGTCTTTGGAGTTTGTAATTGCAATTTTGAAAACCAAAAACTTGTAATTCAAAAAATTTCCGCAAAAAAAGTTCTGAAATTAATTTTTTCCCGTTTTTCAAGTCATGTTTTTTCAAAAACTGTTTTTCAATTGACTTATTTTACTATGACTCTCAAATAAGTGTAACTTCCTATTTTTCGTTGAGCTTTTTATATCACAACATGCATCGAAAAACGACACAAATTTGAGAAAACATTTTTGTAATTTTTTAGACTGTGGTCGGAACATTCATCTATGATCAAAAAGATTTTCATCTGTTTTTTTTTCAAAAAAACTACTGTGCTCAAAACCTTTCGAGTTACCTGCACTGTGCAAGTAACTCGGGCTCTTTTCCAGTTCCCCCCTTTCAAAATACCGAGTTTTATGTTTGTCTTATGTGTTATTACGGCTAAATGCGTGATGTTACGCTGTAAAGTATGAAGAACAAATCTGTTCACAATTGTCGACTTGTTCACCACGCCAAATTTCATTGCATTATGACAACGTTAAATAAGCTTTTCCAAATTGAATTCGAAAGGGGGGACTGGAAAAGAGCCGTAACTCGGAAGGTTTCGACCACAGTAATTGTTTTTTGGAAGGTTTCGACCACAGGAACCGCTTACACATTCTGTTTCTGATTATGTTGCTCGTTTCTATGACAGGATACTTTAGTTTTTAAACTAAAAGAAAACAGAAAGTTCGAAAACGTCCTCAATTAGTGCTTCACATATCGTGTGCCAACGTTTGAAGTCTGTTAGAACTGCTCTGAAATGAAGAAAAAGCAGGTGTTATCTTAATAAAAAGTTTTAGTATAGCAAAAAGCTCAGTTTTTTCTCTTGAGAGAAGATATATTTCGCTTGTCGGAAAAAAGTCAAATCCGTTTTTGCTAAGAATATGCAAATGGGTGTAAATTAAAATTGATTAGTTTCAAATAAACAGTGTTTTTCAAACCCAAAAAAATTGTTTAAATCACTTATGAACTCCATTTTGATATGCTTTCACATTTTGCAAGGCGAAATTTAAAAACTAATAAGTATCAACTTACTCGTGTTTGTTCCGACGATTGAAGCCCCCCGAATAACAAAAAGCGGAAACTGTCTGCCATATTTCCATGAAATAGCGAGCCAAAACTAACAGGCCAGAGAAGACAAGGTCGAACACAGATTGCATCGTGACTAAAAAGTAGTCCCAAGAATGAAGTTTTTCGACAGAATACACGGTGGCGACGAAATAGGAATTGAGAACAATTGTCAGCAAAGTGCAAGGTCCCTAAAAACCATAAGATGAGGTGTTCAGATCCTTGGCCGTTAGCCGCGGTTTTCTTGGTTAAATTAAAAAATCTTCTCAGAGAATTTAATGATCTTCAACTGATCGGTCAGGTTTAAATCAAGATATAAGTCTCAAAGAGCCAAATTCGATCTTTTCACCGCCCGTGCTACTCCTGATGATTTTGCAGAATCAGTTATTTCAGTTGATGAACTGAAAGTACTCAAAATTCATAAAAGGTAAATTCTACCCTATCTGCATTTTCAGGGGTAGCGATTTTGAGGGGGAGCACAAAGGGGAAATTCTACCCTATCTGCATTTTCAGGGTGGAGCGATTTTCAGAGAGAGCATAAAGGGTAAATTCTACCCTATCTGCATTTTCAGGGGGAGCAATTTTCAGGGGGAGCATAAACGGTAAATTCTACCCTATCTGCATTTTCAGGGGGAGCGATTTTCAGGTGGAGCATAAAGGGTAAATTCTACCCTATCTGTATTTTCAGGGGTAGCGATTTTGAGGGGGAGCACAAAGGGGAAATTCTACCCTATCTGCATTTTCAGGGTGGAGCGATTTTCAGAGAGAGCATAAAGGGTAAATTCTACCCTATCTGCATTTTCAGGGGGAGCAATTTTCAGGGGGAGCATAAACGGTAAATTCTACCCTATCTGCATTTTCAGGGGGAGCGATTTTCAGGTGGAGCATAAAGGGTAAATTCTACCCTATCTGTATTTTCAGGGGTAGCGATTTTAAGGGGGAGCATAAAGGGTAAATTCTACCCTATCTGCAATTTCAGGGAGAGCGATTTTCAGGTGGAGCATAAAGGGTAAATTCTACCCTATCTGCATTTTCAGGGGGGAGCGATTTTCAGAGGTAGCATGAAGGGTAAACTCTTCCCTATCTGCGTTTTCAGGGGGAGCAATTTTCAGGGGGAGCATAAACGGTAAATTCTACCCTATCTGTATTTTCAGGGGGAGCGATTTTCAGGGGGAGCATAAAGGGTAAATTCTACCCTATCTGCATTTTCAGGGGAAGCGATTTCCAGGGGGAGCTTAAGGGGTAAACTCTTCCCTATCTGTATTTTCAGGTGGAGCAATTTTCAGGGGGAGCATAAAGGGTAATTTTTACCCTATCGGCATTTTCAGGGGGAGCAATTTTCAGGGGGAGCATAAATGGTAAATTCTACCCTATCTGCATTTTCAGGGGAGCATAAAGGGTAAATTCTACCTTATCTGGATTTTCAGGGGGGAACAATTTTCAGGGGGAGCATAAAGGGTAAATTCTACCCTATCTGCATTTTCGTGGGAACAGATTTCAGGGGGAGCATAAAGGGCAAATTCTACCCTATCGGCATTTTCAGGGGGAGCGATTTTCAGGGGGAGCATAAAGAGTAAATTCTACCCTATCTTTATTTTCAGGGGGAGCGAGTTTCACGGGAAGCATAAAGTGTAAATACTACGCTATCTGCATTTTCAGGGGGAGCGATTTTCAGGGGGAGCAAAAAGGGTAAGTTCTACCCTATCTGCAATTTCAGGGGAAGCAATTTTCAGGGGGAGCATAAATCGTAAATTCTACCCTATCTGCATTTTCGTGGGAACAGATTTCAGGGGGAGCATAAAGGGCAAATTCTACCCTATCGGCATTTTCAGGGGGAGCGATTTTCAGGTAGAGCATAAAGAGTAAATTCTACCCTATCTTTATTTTCAGGGGGAGCGAGTTTCACGGGGAGCATAAAGTGTAAATACTACGCTATCTGCATTTTCAGGGGGAGCGATTTTCAGGGAGAGCAAAAAGGGTAAGTTCTACCCTATCTGCATTTTCAGGGGGAGTGATTTTCCGGGGAGATAAAGGGTAAATTCTACCCTATCTGCATTTCCAGGTGGAGCGATTTTCACGGGGAGCATAAAGTGTAAATACTACGCTATCTGCATTTTCAGGGGGAGCGATTTTCAAGTGGAGCATAAAGGGTAAATTCTACCCTATCTGCATTTTCAGGGGGAGCGATTTTCACGGGGAGCATAAAGTGTAAATACTACGCTATCTGCATTTTCAGGGTGAGCGAGTTTCAGGGGGAGCATGAAGGGTAAATTCTACCCTATCTGCATTTTCAGGGGAAGCGATTTTCAGGGGGAGCTTAAGGTGTAAACTCTACTCTATCGCATTTTCAGGGGGAGCGATTTTCAGGGGGAGCATAAAGGGTAAATTCTATCCTATCTGCATTTTCAGTGGGAGCAATTTTCAGTGTGAGCAAATGGGGTAAATACTACGCTATCTGCATTTTCAGGCTGGGCGAGTTTCAGGGGGAGCATGAAGGGTAAATTCTACCCTATCTGCATTTTCAGGGGAAGCGATTTTCAGGGGGAGCTTAAGGTGTAAACTCTACTCTATCGCATTTTCAGGGGGAGCGATTTTCACGGGGAGCATAAAGTGTAAATACTACGCTATCTGCATTTTCAGGGGGAGCATAAAGGGTAAAATCTACCCTATCTGCATTTTCAGGGGGAGTGATTTTCCGGGGAGATAAAGGGTAAATTCTACCCTGCCTGCATTTCCAGGGGGAGCGATTTTCACGGGGAGCATAAAGTGTAAATACTACGCTATCTGCATTTTCAGGGGGAGCGATTTGCAGGGGGAGCATAAAGGGTAAATTCTACCCTATCTCCATTTTCGGGGGGAACGATTTTCTGGGGGAGATAAAGGGTAAATTCTACCCTTATCTGCATTTTCAGGGAGAGAAAATTTCAATGGGAGCATAAGGGGTAAATTCTACCCTATCTGCATTTTCAGGGGCAGCGATTTTCAGGTGGAGCATAAAGTGTAAATTCTACCCTATCTGCATTTTCAGGGGGAGCGACTTTCACGGGGAGCACAAAGTGTAAATACTACGCTATCTGCATTTTCACGGGAAGCGAGTTTCAGGGGGAGCATAAAGGGTAAATTCTACCCTATCTGCATTTTCAGGGGGAGCGATTTTCAGGGGGAGCATAAAGGGTAAACTCTTCTTTGTGCAATTCAGCTGGAGCGATTTTCAGAGGGAGCAAAGAGGGTAAATTCCAAACTATCTGCATTTTCAGGGGGAGCGAAGAAACGCAGTTTTTAGATCAAACTTTTAAAAAAGTGCATAAAAACCGCCTGTGGCGCCTGTGCCTGAGGAGCAAAAAACTTGGCCAAAACAGGCAGCGATGGATTTATGGGGTCCCTGTCGACCCAAAAGCTTCTCCCTTTGTACTATTTTGAGATATCCATTTTTGGCAGACTGGCCCTATATTTTGTCTAAATTGCAAAATGAAACGAGACTCAGAGTGAAAAAAAATTGACCAAATCGGTCATTATTAGTCGGCTATAACCCGCGTTGAATAAAATCAAAATCAGGCAAATAGTACCAGGGGTGGATTTAAGGGTGGGGGAGGGGGTGTCGCTCCCCTTGGGAATTCGGTCCCCCTTTGTACTATTTTGAGATATCCATGTTTGTTGATTGACCCTACAATTTTTCTGAAGTCGCCTTCGGCGCCAATAAATACTAATTTTGAGAGGGAGCGCGCGCCAAAAAATCGCGATTTTCGTCAAAATTGTCCAAAAACGGCTTCTTTTGCCTTTTTTTTCAAAAGTTTGCCTGTGGCGATTTTTTTTTGTCCAAATAGGGTCTTTATAGTTTTCTGGGACCGCTCTCAAACTCAGTTTGATCGACCTATAAAAAGGTCAACAAAATTTTCAAACATTGTTTGAAAGTCCGCCCCTCCTCGAGAAAATTCTAGATCAGCCCTTGTAAACAGGGTCTTTCTAGTGCTTTGGGAGTTGGGGGAGCTCGCAAAATCAATTTGTTCGAGCTAAAAAAAGTTCGATAAAGTTTTGAAAATTCCTTTTCGAGAAAATCGTAGATCTGCCCCTGGGTAAAATGACTCACCACATACAGCTCTGCAATGAATTTGAATCGTACGAATTGGTCCACGTCATGTGGGTTTGGTACATTCGCAATGGTAGCAGAATAAGAAGTTCCGTTTCCCATATTTGCTTCGAGTTATAACTTATTTCCTCTTTTGACAGCTTGGGATACTCTATAAAGTACAATTCATTTAAAAATATCGATTTTTACAATTTTCACTGATTGAGCTGAAAAAATCCAAACTCAGTACTCAATGCCGATAACAGTAGACAATTTGTTAAACCAAGAACTCTTCCATATGTTTTTTTTTATCACAGCTGCCCAAGGCCGGATCCAGGGTTTTATCGAGGGGGCGGATTTTCAAAAAAAAACTATTTTTTAGTTCGACCAAATGCATTTTTTGAGCTCTCCCAAAGCACTAAAAAGTCCTGTTTTGGTTAGATTTTTCTGCGTCGTAGGCAAAATTTTAAAAAAAAGCAGGCCTAAAACGGCGTTTTTAGGCACCTTTTCTGAAAATGTTGGCCAAAAAATTGCATTTTTTTGGCGCGCACTCCTCCCTTAAAAATTGTGTATATTGGCGACGAAGGCGCCTTTAGTAAGTTTTTAGGGCCCGTCAGTCGAATCCATGAGAGAAGGCGAACGCCACCCCCCCCCCCCCCCTAAATCCGCCCCTGCAGCTGCCAATTAAATCGTTTTTGGGTATTTTTGAAAATTATATATATATCACCTGAAACAATAAAAACGCAAACTCGTAAGACCAAGTTGATGAACTGAAAAAGGGGCAAACTATAATTTTTAGATAGTAATGGTACGATTTCTGATTAGTCTAGCCACAAATGTTTCAGTGGCATCAACCATTTTAAAATAAAAGATAAAATTTTGTAACTAACTGACTTTCAATTGGTGTAAATTTAAAATTGTATGGAGTTGAGCTTGATTTGATTTTTATTTTCATTTTTGAGTTCAACCATGCTTTTTTTTGGAAAATCATTTTTATTGACAAAGCGTTAAGATTAAAAAAAACAATATAATTAAAACAAAAACCCATTCGCTGTTGTTTTGCCATATTTTCCAAACAGTTCGCAGAGAAACCAAAAGAAAAAGTTTGAGTTTTTAATTTAAGGGAATAGAGACTAAAACACGTTCTCTCAATATTATAACACTTTACCAAACGAATTTTGAGCAATTTGGAAAACTTTAGAAAATAAACTTCGTTCAAAATATTTAAAAAAAGTGCTAAAAAGTTGAAAAGTTTTACGTTCAATTATAACCGAATAAAATGAGTTAATATATGTGGAATTGGTGATTCTGCTGTAAACTCGACTAATTAGCAGATTCGTCTTAGATAGCATTACCTTAGACTTATACAGGCTTAGAAATGTACGCTACGATAATTTAATGGCCCAGTTGAGTGATTATTAGTCTAAGGTGAACTAATTGGAACAATGAAAGTTTAAACCAGGTTTAAAAGTCAATATCGAGACTTTTCGAAAAACCGCAAATTAGGTTTTCATATACGTGTAGCAACATTCTTCACCCTCACATGCCCCTACCTAGCAGTAATTAGGTCCTGCAAGAAGTTGGCTCACTAGGAGATGTCAGCTTACCGGAGATTTAAAAAAAACACATGTTGCCCATTTATCAATATTAGTTATGAAAAATTTTCGCCTCCCCCTGCCCGCATGGTGGAGGGACTTTCAATGAGCTGAAATTTGGAGGGATCCTAGGTAACGGCGAGATACATCTTGTATTATAATTTGAATCATTTCCAAATCGGAAGCTGTTAGCACTTGAAAAAACCACCCCCTTAGACCGAAAGTAGGCAATTTACGCAAAAAAATGAGCAAGGTCATAATGATTTAATTGCGGCAAAATACATAGGATGCAATCCCCGAAAAAAGACCCCTGGTAAGTAAATTGCATCCAGCGACTCCTTCCGATGTTAGTAGCTAATTACAGGAAAAAGGATAATGGACCTTGGAAATGGATTAATGAGATGTAGATGATACTTGGTGGTTAGGACCTCCATAGGGTTCTGAACCCAAATATGGGTTCAGAACCCAAACTTTGAACCCGGGTGACCCAAAGATGACCTTAAGGTGACCGTTGGGTGTTTTGATCCAAAAATTGCATAGAAATCCCTGAGATTAACATCGAGAAGTGGCGTATTCCCCAGCCCAACCCCTGAAAATCTGAGCCGGTCACCTTACTAACAAGTGCGAGAAAATTTATCCATTAGGAACTGAAGCAGAAGTTGATAGCCAAGTAGCTTTTTCATTAAAATTTTGAAGTAGAAGAATTAATTCAAAGTGGGCTAGGTAATTATTGGGTTCAGCTTAGCTGGGCAAATGATCTATTAATAGCATTTCAACTAGACGAAAGAAAAATAGTCCCAGAGGAAATTGATAAAAGTAATAGGACCGCGGCATGAGAATTGAATCGCCTAAACAGTATGAACGGACGCGGAACGGAAATTACTTGGCTCCCCCTGGATGACTTTTTGATTTAATTTGACACCCTGATAGCTAGAGGTTCCTGTGACTACATTCCCCCTGATAGCTAGAGGGTCGGGATTGGAGTTATAAATGGAATTTTCAGTTGCTTCGAATGAATTCGCTACACATGAAACGGGTCTTCCTCTAACCGCGGGAATTCGAAATGTTCACGGGATAACCAAAATAAAAACCTTGGGACGGTCACGGAGTAAACATAGCATGGCTTAGAGGCTGAGTTGAACTCGACGGCTGAAGTTCATTGAGGTCAAGAATTAGTTGATTAGAATTGTTTGACATTTGTTTGCATGCTCAAATTGTGGCACCTACTGCATACCGGTATCTAATAAGCGTGAAAAAATATATAAAAGAAAACCGGATTCGGCACGTGGCTGTGTAGACAGCGGGATGGAGTTAGTCATGAAACGTCTGCGGACGGATGATTTGAGCGGATACCAGGACTGATAGGGAATGCCGTGACTTAAGTAAACCCAGGTGTAAAAAAGAGAAGGTACTGGAGGGTACCAGAGAGCCTTCGAGAGG